TCTCTTACATTGTTTATTTTAGCAGGACAGCGAAACATCCCAATCTCATCTCGATTCCTAACGAGTTGAGATAAGACGCAAGATAAAAATTTAGTTTCAATTACTTTTTGAGGTAGGACACAAGACAAGAGTGTCCCAATCCCATGAACATCCCTAATCATTACTTATTATTTTTAATACTTGTAGCAATATAAGAAATTTAACATGCGAAGTTGTAATTTATTATTACATTATTCTGAATATAGGAAAAAAAGTTATGACTATTTAAAAAAACTTGTGATCATTTTATTTTCAACAAGGGCAACTTAGTTATTTATATAAATTAACATTAATGATAAAAAAATTTTAAAGACTTTATTAAAATTATGACATTTCGAGAGATCAAATTATCATTTATATAATTCAAAAAAAATTATTATCATTTTTCCTATTTACGATCATCAAATTCAATACAAAACTTTAATTTAAAATAACTTAGTTCATATAATTTCTTACATTGAAACAATTCAATTTTTATAGATAATTTTTTAAATTGAAACAATTCAATTTTTATAGCTTTTTATTCACACAAATCAACTCTCATAATTTTTTAACTTAATAAATTATAAAAATTAAGTTGCAATGAGTTAAATTTTAGTAATTAAAATTGATAATTGAAAAAATTTATGAATTAAAAGTTATATTATTGTTATTATACTCCCTTTATGTTAATTTATAAGAGACTTTTAAAAATATTTGACATTTTAATATATAAGATAATTTAATAAAAATAAAATTTTATTAATTATTATTTTTTTCATATTATTTTCTTATAATATTCTCTGTTTACTATTTTTGTTATTAATAGAGTATTAAAAAAATTTATTTTTAAAATTTTATACTTATAGTTTAAAAAATAAAATATATTTAATAATTTTTATTGAGGTGAATGATTTTTTCTAAAAATGTATAATAAATTGAAATGAAATGGGTATTATTTTTTAACCAAAAACTTTTATATATTAATTATGGTGTATTCCCTCCGTTTTAAATTATAAGATACTTTTAAATAAAATTTTATATATTAATAAACCTTATTAAATATACTTAACAATCTTATCTTTTAAAAATAAAAATATAAATTTTTAAAATATTCATCATTTAATATATTAAAAAATGAACAAAAATTAATTATAAAAAAAGAAAGGATAATATTACAATTGATGTATTAAATAAAACTTTAATTTTTTTAAAATATCTTACATTTTGAGATGAAATTTTTTTTAAATGTTCTATAATTTGATATGGAAAAAGTAATAAATTGTTGTAATTAATATTATTAATGGATTAAAATTTAAAATGGGACTACTTTGGGAGGACTGAGATTTAATAAGACTTTCATGATAAAGTTAGGTTGGGTTTTGATTAAAAGAAGAGATGCACTTTGGGTCAAGATTTTGAGAGAAAAGTATAAGTGTGGAAAAGACTTGATCCCTAAAGTTGATCTACGAAGACATGCGTCTAGTGCTTGGAAAGGAATATGCAATGCTTAGGCTGACACTAATAATAGCATTGCATGGTAGTTGGGACGTGGAAACCGCATCAGATTTTGGAAAGATTGGTGGTTGCCTCACTATGAACCTTTATTAATTATACTACTAATTCAATATCTGACGAAGTATGTGGAGAAATGGTGGATTAGTATCTTACAGCATCGGGTAGTTGGAATAGGAACAAATTTAAAGAGCTCCTGCCATCAAGCGTGGTGAGGGAAATCCTTTGCACGAGTAGAACAACAGATGAAGATGGGATAAGGTGGAGATAGACTAATAGTGGTGAGTTTACAACAAAATTTGCTTACCAAGGATTGTGTCCTCTTAGTAACATATCTCGAAGAAGCCTATGGAGGAAGATATGGAAAGCTCCTATGTAACACACTAAATTTTTTTTTAAAATAATTTAACTTAACCATAGTTGGGTTACAGCCACCTAACACATTTTATATCAATAATTTCAATATAAAAATATTTTATAATTGGTTTCAACTCGCACAATACAACATTTCAATTAAATTTTTACCTCTCACATGCCATTAGGCTAAATCACATTTGTCCATCCCTATACTCCCAACAAGTTAACTAAATCATATTTGTCCATCCTTATACTCCCAACAAATAAAATAACTAATTTAGTCAATTTTCAAAACAAGCCAGTGATTTGGCCTCATAATCATGCCATTTTAACCAATCCAAAGTAAACCAAATATTAAAATTACAGTTATCCAAAGTGTACCAAAAATGGAAATAGTTTGAAAGGCATGATTACATTTATATATTCATATAATTGTCAATAAACAAAAGCCCTGATATTGGCAATATAAAACATTATAAATCATAAATCAAATACCCAAAAGAGTCAGTGAATTTATGCCACTAAGTCTCTGGGACTCCTTCACGTGTCACTCGTGGCTCTTTTTCTCTAATGAGACTCAAAAGTTTCAGTAACCAATGCTAATTTATGATAGTATATACAAACAGTTAAGTGTGTGCTTATTAAGTGAGAATTAAAATAATATAATTCTAATAAATATAAGAAATATTACAATACATATAAACAACCATCTTTATATCCCTCCATTAACCTCGAGTCGTAGCTTCACTCGGTGCTAAATTACCCGACCAAAGGTAGATTAGTCCGAGCCCTTACAAGTCACCTATTGAGCTCCAATAGGGGCGTACCACGTAGCATATAAATACAACAACAATAGCAAGTCTCCCAACTCCTCCCATAATAATCAAACAAATTTATAATAATATTGCACAATTATACAATATTATAAAATTCATAATTTTCTCAATAATCATCCAATTAACATAAAGTAACACTAATCACAAATTAAAAGCATGGTTACCTCATGGCTTTTTCAATAAATTATTCCTTACAATTTCTCTCCCACCACAATCTTCACCAATAATACAATCTACAAATAACATATTATTTATAAATATTAGTTTTAATTTTTTAAAACTAATAAAATAATTCTAATAATAGAATTAAAAATATAACATAATTTCTAATCTCAATCTTAATACAAATCTAGAGTCAATACTATTAAGTAAAATTTTTAAATCCTCTTTTAGTCATCAATAAATATTAATAATTTAAAAATCAACTTCTAAACTAATTTCTATCATCAAAATTTTCTTTTTATTTTATAAATTAGCACCTAAAATATTCAAAAATTAAAAATTGAGTCTCTAGCTTAGAATCATAATCCTATAGCCATAATAATTCATTTCTCACCCTAAATAATCATCTAAACCTCAATAAATCAACATATATTTTCAGATAGTTTAGAATTTGATCCATAAGTCACAAATTCAAAGATCATCAATAAATTTATACTCTAAACATTTATTATACTATTAACAACCTTATAAATTATATTTATTCAACATAAATTTATCCCTCTTTCAAATCCTAAATTTTCTACCACCACAAAATCAGAAATCAAAGAGGAAGGATGATTAAGAAAAATTTTTAAAACACTTATTTAGTCTTAAAAAGCTTGAAATCACACCCTAAATATCCTATTAAAAATCTTACCTTAAAAATTTAGATCTTCTACGCCGGTGACTCACACTCATTTTGCCTCAGCTCACGCACGAAGGAAAGAATGAAGAAATGAAGGAAACAGGTGAGTTTTTATAAAAATTAGTAGGTCCCATATTTTTTTTATTATTTCTTCTTTCCTCTCTCTTCTTTCCTTTTTTTTTATTATTTTACATGTCATCATTACGCGGCCGCCGAAAGCAATCTTGTTCTTCTTCTTCTTCTTCCTTTTTTTTAATACCTTTTCTTTTTTTTATAATAACAATAATTTAATAATATTTTTATTATTATTATTTTTTTAATTAATCATTTTTTTATTTTAATTTAAATTATATCTTAAGTTAGATTTAATAATCATTTTTTACTAATTTGCTTACCTCTAAATATTTTTTAAAATTTTTATTAACCTAAATTAACTATTAAAATTTAAATTAGGATGTTACATCTTATACCCCAGAGAAATAAAACTTTCATGTGGTTATGTTACCGAGGTAGGATTATGACTAATGCGTTTCGTGCCATAAGAGGGCTACAAACGAACACTAATTGTTCCCGGTGTATAGATCAACCAGAAGACATTATGCATGTGCTACATAAATGCCGACTAGCGACAAGCTGTTGGGAGATATTAGTTTCAACAGAAAGGAGCAACACATTCTATTCTGTTGAGAATTATGTCAAATGGATTGACTAGAATATGGCTCAGAGGTTTTAGTTAAGGGCTATAGATGGGACGTGTGGCTTGCTATTTTGTGTAGACAAATCTGAATTAATAGAAATATAAAGGTTTTTCAAGAAAAAGCCGTTGGTGCTCAAGCAACACTTGCTCAGGTATTGGCAATGATTAGATGGGTAAATCTAAGATTATTGAAAAATAGTATGGATAAGGATCAAAGTTTATGGCGTGCCCCTAATATAGGAACTATAAAGTTTAATATTGATAGTACTTGCATGACTAACAATGGTATCGCTAGCTGTGGCGGTATAGCTAGAGACCATGCGGGGAAGACTTTAGGAGGATTTATGTATCATATTGAATTGGGTTCTAGTTTGAGTGCCGAACTTTAGGGGGTAGTTTGGGCTCTCAAGAGAGCTTAGGACATGTCATGGTTCAATGTGGAAATTGAGACTGATTGTAGAGTGACCCTGTTCGTTTTGCAACAGGATGAGGCAAACAGTCACCCGAATAGAACTTTGATCAATGAAATTCAAAACATGAGGAGTAGAAATTAGTTCGTGAAATTTACATGGTGCAGTAGAGAGGCAAATATGGTTGCAAATAGACTAGCCAAGGAAGCTCTATGTTAGATGTCTGAAATGGTCTTGTTCTCGAGTCTCCCATATTGTATTTCTGATGCTCTGAAATTTGACATTAGGGTCTAATACCCTTGTACTACTCTTTGATCCCGGGGGGGGGGGGGGGGGGGGGACTACTTTTATTGCTCCTGCTGGCGGCGGCTTGCCTCCGCAAAACCTTTCCATTGCTTTCTTCCATATGTAACAAACCTTTCCTGCGGGCGACGACATCAGTATCAATACTCTCTCTCCCCGCCTATCTTTCTCTGTGATGGCATCGTCGTCCCTGTTACAGTTTTCTCCTTCCTCCTTCCAATGCAAACCCTCTCTTCCTCACCCACCATCCAAATTCAACTTCATAGTCAACGCTCACTTCCAACCTGGATCCTCCACCCCCCTCTCTCACAACAAAAACAGCAACGGCAACGGCAATAACGCCTCGCCGCCACCCCCGCAGGTGGTTTCGAAGAACCGCCGCCCTGCCGACGAGAACATCCGCGATGAGGCTCGCCGGAAACCTGTCACTTACACCCATCGATTCTCCGCCAAGTACGTCCCCTTTAATGCCGATCCTTCATCCACTGAATCCTACTCTCTCGATGAGATCGTGTATCGTTCCCAATCTGGTGGGCTTCTCGATGTTCAGCACGACATGGAAGCTCTGAAGAAATACGACGGTGAGTACTGGCGATCTCTGTTTGACTCTCGTGTGGGCAAGACCACCTGGCCCTATGGCTCTGGTGTCTGGAGCAAGAAGGAATGGGTGCTGCCCGAGATCGACGGTGACGACATCGTGAGTGCATTCGAAGGGAACTCGAATCTCTTCTGGGCTGAGCGTTTTGGCAAGCAGTTTCTGGGAATGAACGATTTGTGGGTCAAACACTGTGGGATCAGCCACACTGGTAGTTTCAAAGATCTGGGTATGACTGTTCTGGTGAGCCAAGTTAACAGGTTAAGAAAAATGAATCGTCCTGTCGTGGGCGTTGGCTGTGCTTCCACGGGGGACACCTCTGCTGCTTTATCTGCTTATTGCGCTTCTGCAGGAATCCCATCAATTGTGTTTTTGCCTGCAAATAGGATCTCCATTGCTCAACTGGTCCAGCCAATTGCAAATGGTGCATTTGTGTTGAGCCTTGATACCGATTTTGATGGGTGTATGCAATTGATTAGGGAAGTCACTTCTGAGTTACCTATATACTTGGCTAATTCTCTGAACAGCTTGAGACTAGAAGGGCAGAAGACTGCAGCTATTGAGATTTTGCAGCAGTTTGATTGGCAAGTCCCTGATTGGGTTATAGTGCCAGGAGGGAATCTTGGAAACATCTATGCATTCTACAAAGGGTTTTACATGTGCAAAGAGTTGGGACTAGTTGATAGGGTTCCCAGGCTTGTTTGTGCTCAAGCTGCAAATGCTAATCCTCTCTATCTGTACTTCAGGTCAGGGTGGAAAGAATTTAAGCCTGTAAAGGCCAACACTACGTTTGCATCTGCCATACAAATAGGTGATCCTGTTTCAATAGATAGAGCTGTTTATGCATTGAAAAACTCAGATGGCATTGTTGAGGAAGCAACAGAAGAAGAACTAATGGATGCTATGGCTCAAGCAGATTCTACTGGCATGTTCATATGTCCTCACACTGGGGTTGCTTTGACTTCATTGATTAAATTAAGGAAAAGGGGCATCATAGGGCCTACAGACAGGACTGTGGTAGTCAGTACTGCTCATGGATTGAAGTTTACACAATCGAAAATTGATTACCATTCAAAAGATATCAAGGACATGGCTTGCAAATTTGCTAACCCGCCAATGCAAGTGAAGGCAGATTTTGGGTCAGTTATGGATGTTTTGAAGAAGTATTTGCTGAGTAAGGCGCCAAAATACTAGGTTAGCTTAGCGAGTTTTTCTCTTGTACTCCTCCTTTGCTGATTTTTTTATACTTCATTAGGTTCTATTGTCTTTCTATTATTAGCTTCAAGTTTACTGTCTAGTGTTCACAAGCTGCCCTATATTTGAGCTTATGCTTTGTGATTCATCTCTGTCAAGCATTCAATACCTCTGGAGATCATGAACTTGATAGAATGTGGTGCTGGTTTTATTGCAAGAGGTTCAAGGCAAAAAACCTATCAACAGAATGCCCTGCTTTGACTTGGCTTCAAGTTTTTGCTTTTCTTAGTTTTTACTGCTTGGCGTTGTGGAATAATCTTCATCTCGCCAAGCATATGCTCATCATGGACACAGAATTACAACGTATACAGGAGGGACATGCAAGATTCACGTCAAACCAGACCTCCTATCCCCCACACTAACTTCTTTCTTCTATTATCATAGAATAATTTGAACTGTAGTTATAAGGTAATCAGTCCAGCAATTGTAAAAATTAGAGCCTGCAAGAACCATAAGTTTACTTGTTATGAGAGAGAATACAGAGAGCGATCTTCCTTATAATAACAAGGGGGAAAAAAGATAAACAGAGATACAAAATACAATCTTCACGCAGAAATGTGAAATGGCATCTTAAGTATGAAAACACTCTCGGCTATAGAAGCAGCAGCTAGACCCGCTCTCTCTCTTGGATCATTGATGGAGTAATTGCTGAAGTAGAGAACTGTGGCGTAATACAATATCAGCGGGCATACAAGTCCAAGAAGAAAGCTGGTGAGAAAAGGAAGAACCTTCAGTTATCAAACTATGCAAGAGGTAAAGAGAAGAATGAAAGAAAGAGTAAAACATGTGGAAATAACTACTCACGAAATCGATCCCATTCCACACCCAAAACAGGGAAGCGGCTCGTTAAATTTCCCCAAAAGTGGGTCGTCTGAATTCTAAACACAAACATTCTTGCCATTTCCTTCGTCCTTTGTGTCCATTCAGAGTCTTGTGTAAATCAATTCAAACTTCAATGGCTAGTTCCTTTGAGTTGGATCCTGACTTCACAGAAAAGACTACGTTTGATGCATTCTAAAAGAGAGGCATAGAAAGAGAAAAAATGTGTAATTTTAAGACATAGACTCCATACACAATCAAATCCTCTTGTGTGACGCTCTAAAATCATGATTGCGTGATTGCAGATGAACTATTTTCTTTCCATTTTTTTCGGCCAACAGCAGATGATCTGTTTTCAGTTTTTTTTTTTCTTTTTTTTTTTGGCCGACATATTTTCAGTTTGCTTACATCTTGACAGTATCAAACGCTTATATCTTAACACACCATTACATATTTTATAATAAGAAATTTAAATGTGGGGCTCACTTAAAAGAAAAATAACACCAAAGAGGATGACTGAATTTTTAAAATTGAAGAAGAAAATTGATCATAATTAAGTTTAGGGTTTTCAATAACCTTTCATGCACTGTTAAGAGACAAAAATGACATTAAACTTCATACAACCAAATTTTCTAATGTCATTCTCTTTATTTGAAGTCATGTATGTTTGTAGGGAATCTATTTTTCATTCACTTGTATCTCTATAATATAAAATGCCTGTACGCAGATCATAATTTTTAAAAGGAGGTAAAAATAAATAAATAAAAGAACAGAAGAATCACAAAAGCAAAGGGCCTGTTTGGTTTTTATTCTTATTTTTTTAAAAAAAATTCTTATAATACAGTTTTTAAAATTATTTTTAAAACAAAATAAAATGAAAATGTGTTTGGTAATGATAATTAAAAATATTTTTAGAATTAAAAAGCAAACTAATAATAATTGTTATAGACAATTAATGGTAATAATTATGTGTAACTATAATTTCTAATAAACCATTGTAATGTATTTTAAAAACAAAAAATATAAAACGAAAACAATCTAAAGTTATTTATACTTTTGGTTTTTAAAAATAAAAAATGAAGTAATTTTAAAAATAACTAAATGAAAAATACTTAAATAAATAAATTTTTAAATTTTTAAAAATAAAAAATAATTTTTAAAAACAGAAAACAAATAAGCCCTAAGTTTCTGATGAAGTTAGTTTACAAAGATAAAACATAACAAAAAGTGTCTCTGTCTTGTCCCAAGTCTTGCACTAATCAGTTTATATATGTATATATATTTTGGCCAAACACTAATCAGTTTATTTAAACATTCAAAATCTCAAACTGCAATGAGAGCTTCCCATTCATATCACGGACATGAATATCTTAACACCAATTGTTTGATCAGGGAAATTTTTTTTTTTTTTTCTAAATCTTTTGCATTTGATGGCCGTGAAGCAAAGCAAACTAATCCAAAGGCTCAGAGAGAATGAGAATGGTGTATGAATGAAAACGGAACCTTTCAATTAAATGAAACTATTATATTTGTGCATGTAAAGCTGTTAACAGGCAAAATCCCCACCAGAATAAGCGTAGTATTTAAAGGTTCTTATACGATGAAGCTTGAGAACATGCTTCTTACTTACGAACAGAAAAAGAAACCTGAAGACTGACATTAAGATGACCCGAGCAAGTACTTTTCGCGGAAGTAGAGGGTATACCAACCTTTGTTGTGCCAAAGGTTCAAAGAAACGTTCGCTCTGCGAAGCGGGAAATTCGCATGGCTCTGAAGCCCGCTATCGATGCAATCTTCGAGGAAGACATGGCAGCGATCAGATCACCATCTCATCTGTTGCCGAGTTCGAGTCTCATGTCCCGCCGGTGAGTATGTAGCCGGCGGGTCTGCTTGCCGGTGGCAAGGATAAAAGCGTGGAACGAGATCTATACCTACCAGCTGGTGAGGGACATAATTTTGGGGCTATTTTGAAAGCAAAGCTATCTTGGCATTTCATAGGCCACGCGGACTTGTCAAATTCAAACATCCATTAGATTTATTAAAAAGAGTTAAATTTCATTAAATTCCAATAACGAATGTGTAGATTAAGATTCTAGGTATGTTCTCTGTCGGTTGATGATGACGATCGAGGAAGTGACTATCCGAAGCAGAAATTTCATGGCCAAACGAGCCATGGTCCAGAAAGCAAATCATTTTATGGTTCCCCGGGGGGGGGGGGGGGGGACCGAATCGCCATGTGCCCATTTTCACAGTATCTCAGTTAATATTACCTCCCATGAAAGAACAAAATTAGATAATTAAGAAAAAGTTCAAGGATTAGAAATTATATTTTCCTTTGATTATTAATTATTAAATGCGATATGAGTCCTCCTATTTCATCTACAAAGTTCAAAGTTAGTTAATAACGATGTTTTGTTCTGTCCATTCCCGCCAACTATAGTAAATAGGGGTGACTGGCATAGGATATTCGGGAAAAAACGTATACTTACAGATTTTCTTCCGGGGTTCCCAATTCGGCACCCACCATCGGCCGGCTCGGTGGGCTGTTGGTGCCGCCGATGGATCTCTCGCAAATGGCTTCGAAGTCAGGAGGAGGCCCTGCTGCTGCAGCAGAGGACGTCGGGGCAACGGTGATCGCCATTGATAAGGATAAGAACAGCCAACATGCAGTCAAATGGGCCGTGGATCACCTCGTAAAGAACTCCTGCACCCTTATCCATGTTCGCACCAAGGGATTTCATCCCCGTAGGTATTCGTCTCTGTCATCCCCATCGTCATGATCATTGTCATCATTATAAATTAGTAAATTACCCATTCCATTAGCTTTAGTTTGGTGTCCTTATCATGTGTTGCTGTATTAAATATACAAATGGTATTTGTAATAATGTCGGTCTAAAATATAGAATCTTTTAGATTTGGTTTATGTCGTTATTGGTAAGCGTAACTGATGCACGAAGGTCGTTTCTGGTCACGCCTGACCAAAACTTGGAATAACTTATAGGTTGTGCTTCGAAATGTTTCTTCGTCAGTTCATTATGCTCATGGGGTGTTTGCGGAAATGTCTGCTTAAAATACAATGACACCATTTTTTTAATTTCTTTTTTTTTTGTGCAGATAAGATTGATATTGCCCATAAAGAAGGTGTCCCTCCATCGGGAGAAGAAATGCATCAATTTTTTCTTCCCTTTCGAGGATTCTGTGCTCGAAAAGGGGTGTGTTAATCAATTCAATTAATTTTAAGAATAGAACTTTCAACTCTTCATTCCTCTTCTTTGGTATTCACCACGTTGGATTGAAGTGTATGTGCATGCACGTGATATATGACTGGCTTATATTTGTAACTATTGAGCATTTCAGATTGAAGCAAAGGAATTGGTTCTGCATGACCTTGATGTTTCAAGCGCCCTTACTTATTATCTCAACAACAACTCTATCAGAAACATCGTTGTTGGTGCTTCTCACCGTAATGTTCTTACGAGGTCCTTCTCTCTGTCTCTGACTCACTCGTACACGCACAAGCAAACATGTGATGGTAACTGCCGGGTAGACATGGTTATCAATAAAATGGATACTGTGTTGGCCTCTCCAATGAATTGCTATAAGATATTGCCCAAAAAAAAAGAGGAACTTTTATGTATGACGCAAAAAAGCCTAGCAATTAGAGATTTGACTCTTCTTTGGTCGAGTCCAAAGTACATTTACTACTAAGCCATAAAGTTGATGAGATAAGTGTGTACATGAGAATTAGATCAGTTGATCAATTTTGTGCTTTGTTCTTAACTGCAGGAAATTCAAAGATGCAGATGTCCCCACTTGCTTAATCAAGTCTTTGCCTGAGTCCTGCGTAATATACGTTATATCAAAAGGAAAAGTACAAAATATCAAACCAACAGGTCAAAATCAAAATTGTTGCAGCATAACAGCTAAATCTATAAAAGACAGTCACCGAGGAAATTCTCAAGCTGATGATTCACAGAGGCTTCCTAACATCCCTGATTCTGAAGAAGAAAACAGGTGTAGATACCAGATATTAGTAATATTGTTGTTGAAAAATATTAATACTTTGATCCCAAATTGGGGTGATGAATTGCCTAAATTCTAATTCTTACTCTAAAATTCATCGATTGTGATGGTATGCAATGTGCAATAACTTTCTTCATCGTGATTTAAATTCTTTTACCAGCTAAAGGAAAGAGAGAGCATGGCAGATGGCATTCGAGCTAATTGTTTCTAAGAACTTCTTGCTTGTTTGATCATGTTTCGCGATGTGTTCCCTAAATAATATTTGCTTGGCACTTTGATGCTCTCTTGTTTCTACAGAGATTCAGTCGGCCATGGACGTGGACAAGGCTCAGGCCTTGATGGGGCATCAAATAGTCAAAATCATACCTCTACAGATAATTCACAACATGAACCAAATGGAGAAGCTGGTTCACCAGTGTCAAATGAAAGTCCATATTCCTTCATTAGTGACATGTCAGGGCCGAATAGTTTTCAATCAAATGATAAGTTCCACGAAAACCAAGAAGCATTCGAGAACTTGGACAGTTGCTGGAGCCTATCTTCAAAAAGCCCAGTAAGTACTACTTTTTAAGATGACAGGATCACTTTAGTTCAGAATCGTTAGGCACTTAAAATAATTTGGTATATGTGTGGCATAATCATATCAAAGATTAGGGTGCTTCACCAATGGTCAATCTAACCCACGATAAATGGATTAGGCTTGAATATGTAATAAATATATTGCCCCTCCATTTTTCTAACACAGTGATACAATTTTTTTTTCCTTTTGAGTTCAAAGACTAGCACAAGATATTTGGGTTTGTTATTCATTTCTATTGAGCATGTGACGAAGATGCTAGACTGCATCTGTGAAAACTGAAAACAACTAGAAGCAACCAAACTACTATACTTAAGGAACCTTGAGCAATTACTAGCAAAATCTAAAATGGCCTTAAGAGTTTTTATATGAAACTTTATGTTGTGCTTGTATTTTTTGAAGTATGATGTTGAGGTTTTGAGTTTTGATTCTATATTCAATCTTTAGAAACCTTAGATTTGAAACTAACAAAAATAACTCGCAAGCCTATAGCCTGCAGATTTTTTAATTACTCTGCATCACAAGGGAATTGTTAACACATTGCTTTCCCCTTTTGCATGGATTATCGGACAGAAAGCCTTGGAGAGCGAAATAAGGAAATTAAAATTGGAACTGAGAAAAACAATGGAGAAATATACTTTAGCTTGCAAAGAAGCTATTGAAGCAAAAAAGAAGGTAATTTCATATTATGTTTTCTAATGCTATGATGGATTTTAAAATAACGTACTAAAACAGAAAACTTAAAAAGGCTGGTATTTTATCATTTAGGCAATGGAGCTTGAACAGATTAGGGAAGAAGAAGGACGCAACCTAGAAAAAGCTAGGCTCGCTGAAGAGGCTGCATTGGCTTTGACAGAGGTAGAGAGAGAGAAAACCAGGGCTGCATTGGAGTCAGCACAAATGGCAAAACTCCTAGCAGAAATGGAGACCGAGAAGAGAAAGCAGGCAGAAACAAGAGCCATGCATGAAGAAGAGGAGAAGAAAAAAGCAGTAAATGCACTTGCACAAAATCTTATCCGATGTAGAAGATATGATATTTCAGAAATTGAGGTAGCGACAAACTACTTTGACAATTCATTGAAAATTGGTGAAGGTGGATATGGGCCTGTTTTTAGAGGGATGCTCGATCACACTGTTGTTGCCATCAAGGTCTTGAGACCAGACATAGCATCTGGGGAGAAGCAATTTTTTCAAGAGGTAATCATAATTTTCTTTCAGAACATCACATTGTGACAAATTTAAGCTTGAGATTTCATTTTTGATGGCAGAATGATTTTTTTTTTCCTTCAAATTAGAACCTGTTATTTACAAAATTGATATACAAGGGTAACTCAAATATCCATGATGAAACAAAGTTTTGAATCTCGTGAAAATTTGATATCGCTGAGTTAAATAGCAAGCACAGCACAATGCGTGACTCTTAGAAAGGCCCAGTCTAGATTGAGTAACAATCTATTCCCTCTTGCTATAAGTTGTGTCCTTCAGTAGTTAGAACAGTATGAGTGCTCCTCATCTCATAGAAGAACATGATGCTGCCAATGGAGTTTAGGTTGACTGGTAAATAACTCAACACCTCTTTCACAAGATTAAGTGTTCAAACCTTGCGAATAGAAAAAAATTACATTGAGAGTGATATCTTTTATTGGGGACTAATAATGCTCAAACTGGATTAGTCAGTAGTATCGGATGTCAAATACTCGTATTTAAAAAAAAAAAAAAAAAACACTTGCTTGTTTTCCGTGACTAAATTGCAACTGTATAAGGTGTGACCCATGCACAAGTAGGTGACGTAGTTTAGTGTATTCACTCATACTATCTTATTGTCAAAGTATATAATTTGGCTAGACTCAGGAATTGTTCAGGAATTGTTCTGAGTTTAAAGTTCTATTTGTTGAGTTCAAAACCTCATGTATCTAGCGTTTATCAGGATTATGAATCATAGTCTGAGTTATTTTCTGTTTTAATTATTTCAATGCAGGTTGAAGTTTTGAGCACCATAAGACATCCTAACATGGTTCTCCTCCTAGGTGCCTGCCCAGAGTATGGATGCCTTGTGTACGAATATTTGGAAAATGGCAGCTTAGAAGACCGTCTCTTCCAGAAAGATAACACCCCACCAATTCCGTGGAAACTTCGATTCCAGATTGCAGCTGAAATTGCCACTGGCCTTAACTTCCTTCACCAAACGAAGCCTGAACCACTGGTGCATCGTGACCTCAAGCCTGCAAATATACTCCTAGACAAGAACTACAAGACCAAGATTAGTGATGTGGGTTTGGCCAGGCTTGTTCCTCCATCTGTAGCTGATAAAACCACTCAGTATCGTATGACAGCTGCAGCGGGTACATTCTGCTATATTGACCCTGAGTATCAACAAACAGGATTGTTGGGTGTAAAATCAGACATATATTCCTTAGGTGTACTGCTGCTTCAGATCCTTACAGCAAAGCCTCCAATGGGTTTGTCCCACCTGGTTGAAAAGGCTATCCAAACAGGCAAATTTCCGGAGGTGCTTGATCCAAATGTGACAGATTGGCCTGTTGAAGAGGCTTTATCATTCGCTATGTTGGCTTTGAAGTGTTGTGAGTTGAGGAAACGAGACAGACCAAGTCTTGGTTCAGTCATTTTGCCGGAGCTAGGTCGACTCAAAGATTTGGAAGAGGACAGAGACATGAAAGAAGACACTGATAGCCCTGACGGATTTGATAGCCAGGTTAGTCACTCAACCTGCACTTGTCGTTTTTAGTATTTTATGTTTGAACAATTGCAACAGAATGTCCTACTATTTAAAATGTTTGAGTTCCATAATTACTGTAAGATTATCACCGTACGTTTTTAGCCATTATATTGGGAATCTCAATGTGTTATTTAATCAGAAAAGAGAAGCTTGTCAACTCAAATATGATAAACAGTCATCAAAACCAAAAGTTAATAAGAATACAGGAAAACAGGAAAGCGTGAAATGGCAATTAATCAATATTACTATATTTAAGGAACCAAGCTCGAACATCAGGTATCTGAGTTCCATTCACCAACCATTCCTCTAACATCAAATTTCCCCCTTTTAGGCTTTCCAATCTAAGGTTTCTTTTCCTGAAAAATTACAGATAAGAGTCATACCTTATATTGATCACAGTTAACTATTTTGAAAATAAAAAATTTATAAAAAATTATTGAAAATAAGTTATGATTGCTCTTTAATAAAACTATTACTCATATTCTCTAAAGCTACAACTCAGTAGTATTGATACTTTAGATTTATCACTACCTCTGGATGAGAGCACTAAATGTTCAAAAAAATCATATTGATAATTTAAGAGTATGAGTGATAACTCAAAGGAAAAAAAAAAAAACTAATGAAAATTTGTTCCCGTGGTCCTTGAAGCAGTAATGATGAGTCTTTTAACTTTCACATTTCCGAATTTCCTTCCTGGTGAGACCATAAGAATAGCATAACTAAAGCTTGTAGGTTCTAAAATACATAGAAAGAAAAATGGTAGCATGTAAGTTGGTTTTAAGGTATGATTCTGTATCATGTAGAACCGAGAGGTAATGAGTAGCAACGTTAAAGTGGAAATGGAGAAAAGGCAGAGGAAACCCATGAAATCCCTGAGCAGCAAATGCAGTAGCAGCAGAAGTAAAATAAGAGAAGGAAGCCTCATTGCAGCATCAGGAAAACAAGTTGAGGTTGCAAATAGGCAAGATACTGATGAGACAGGAAGCTGCTGGTCTTTTGGAAGTTGCTCCATTATTCACCCCAGTTCTTTTTAAGTTCAATCATGTCTTGTCTTGTGTTGTCTTTCTGAATTGTAATAAACCATTCTTTCTTCGGCAACATAAATAGAAGGACCCCCATTTTGATCATCATCATTCAAATTCGCCAAAACAAATGGTTCGTTTCGCTAAGTCGAAAAAAAAGTGTATATAACTGTTGACAGAGAATTTAATTATTTTGTCGCTTTAACTTGATTCTTTAATTAATTTTTCAAACAATAAAATGGCATGTTAATTTGCTGTTTTATTTCTTGAACCTTCATGCAAGAGTTTCTTTTATGTTGATCATAGTTAGGGGCCGTTTCGTCAATAAAATGGAAGGTAATGAAATGAATTAAAGAAAAAAAATATAAAAATTGAGTGATCAAGATGCGAAGAAGAGATAATAACTCATATCGATAAGGGAAAAAGGATAATTTAATTTATAAATTTAAAAGTTAAAATTCATGAGATTTGTGAAGGATATTATGATTTTTACATTTATAATGTACTATATTAAATTTTATTATGCTTGTCATGAGGCATGGGAGTAATTTAGTTTTCATTTTTATTTATTTTTCTTTAATTCATTACATTCTCATCATTTCTAATAGGCAAATGGCTCTTTAAAATATTTGTATTTCCAAAATTTGTTGTCATAATTTAAAGGGAGAATCACATTGGATAATCACTCAATAAACTTGATCACAGGATTAATAATAAGTCTCATTGAAAAAAAAAAGTTAATATTCTCATTTTAATATCAATCTATTTCATATTGGTTTTAAAATAGTGATTGGATGCAATTGTCCTTAATTTATTAAATGATAAGGTATAGGTGTAAATTTAGCTATATACTTTTTTTTTTTGAGCATGTGTTAGCATGAACTATCAGATGATGTGAAATAAATTATAAACTTTAAAAAATGAAACATCTAGTAATCCGCTGTTAACTTTAATTGACGGATATTATATGGGGCTCAAAATGGCAAGTGGCACTCCACGGGTACTTTATGTCAACATGTATAAAAGTGTAAATTTAGTCACAAATTATTTTTTAAAAAGTACTAGATAGCCTCTACTATAAAAAAAAAAGACCATCCAACACCTTCCTTTTAATTTTAACTAGACATTATTTCTTTTCATGTTTACAAGGCCCACAATTAATTTATCTCTCCAATCTTCTTGCCTTCATTTTTAGTATCAACTAAAAAAAAAGGAGGTTTAAAGAGTTCTTATCTGAAGACACTCATGAGGATGAAGCTAGTCAAGTAAAAAGTTTAATTTTACTACACATGAGAGAAGTTTGATTCTAACTTAATTTAGTCATGAGTTATTTCTTTTATTTTGTTAACGTCGTTTTTGTAAATATCTTTATATGAAAACTTTTTGAATATCTTCTTTTCAAGCTAATGCTGAAAATAAAGGCAAAAAAATTTAAGAGATTAAAGCATTATGAGCCTCATAAGTATGAAAATAAATTATGTTTAATCAAAATTAAGGAAAAAGGATTGGATGATTCATTTTTTATAGTAGAAGCAACTTAATACTCTTTGAAAAATAATTTATGACTAAATTTACACCTTTACACATGCTGACATGAATTGCCTATGGAATTTTACATGTCATTGTGAGCCCTTATATAACGATTGTCAATTGAAATTAACGGTAAACTATTAAATGTTTTATTTTTTTAAAATTTATAATTTATTTTGCATCATCTAACAGACTTTAAGCCTTTAATTTACCAGATGTTCCTACGAAAATAACACATAGCTAAATTTGCACCTTAATCTCAAATGATATGTAAAAAAATTAAAATTAATCAACTTCATTTAAGCACGGACCCAGCAAAACTGTCACAATTTCAAATCTACAAATTCTATGGAATAAACTCCGTGCATCACTGAACCCGGTTCGTCACAGATTACTTAATGCTATTTATTCAACTTGGACCGAATCTCCTCTCGAACCTACCCCCGAGTCCCTCGCTTCCTTTTCCCTGACCCAGGGAAGCTTCAGAGCTTCCTCTCTCTGTGAGTGCCCGTGCTTTTTCTTTCACTGTGATCCCTGAAACCCTAACCCGAGCGTCTGGAAGCTTCTCCTATGGCGTACCAGACCCCCGATCGCGACTCAGAATCCGGATTGCAAAATCAAACACGTCTATACAATCCCTACAAGGACCTCGAGGTACCTATTCGAAATCTTTACCAGCTTCCAACATCCCCGGAGTACCTTTTCGTTGAAGAGGCCCGCCGCAAGCGACGATCCTGGGGTGAGAATCTCACCTTCTACACTGGCTGCGGATACCTAGCCGGCGCCGTTGGTGGCGCTGGAGGGGGACTCGTCGACGGCGTTAAATCCTTTGAATCTGGCGACACCACGAAGCTTCGGATTAATCGGGTTCTCAACGCTTCTGGCCATGCGGGTCGGGCTTGGGGCAACCGACTTGGTGTGATCGGGTTGATGTATGCCGGTATCGAGAGCGGGATTCAGGCCGTGAGGGATACTGATGATGTCTGGAATAGTATGGCGGCGGGGCTTGGCACGGGTGCATTGTATCGAGCCGCAAGAGGAGTGAGATCGGCTGCGGTCGCGGGAGCCGTTGGTGGAGTTGTGGCGGGAGTGGCTGTGACGGCGAAGCAGGCATTGAAACGCTACGTGCCAATATGAAGAGCTTATTTTGTGTGAGCTCTTATTTTTTATTCCTTTCATATCAATTTTGAGTGAGTATTGAAGTACAAGCTGTAGACAGTAGGTTACCAATGTGTGGCAGTTGATACTAAATCTGCTGTTGCAAAATATTGTTTGAATGCATAATTTCATCTTGATGATGGCTAACCCTTCCATTGAAATTCGTCGAATTACGCTGTAATGAATAAATTTGAGATACAATTTTGTTTATAGCATCAGCTATAGATTGTGAATGCATAAAAGATTTTGAAAATACTGTGACGTAGAAGTCAAGTGGCTTGTCTACTTTGTGATTAAGCTCGAACACTGAGCACATTCTCTCCAGATTCACAGGTTTAGGGGATATGTTGGTGGATATGATTATTTATTTACTGATAGTAGATTGATGCAATACTTTATTAGACGAGATAATTGGAAATTTACGAGGCTTTGGTGGCGAACTATAGGAGTGTGCACACATTAAACACTAGGTACATTCTCTTTTGCAAATTGTGCTAAATTTGGTACATTCTCTCTTGCAAATTGTGTTAAATTTGTTCCATGCGTGAATTCTGCGTCATATGTTTTTTGTTTTTCGGCTAGAAATTGTTTCAGGGATGTTGTTATGTGGAATTGGCTACTGGTAACAGATGCCCTCCTGAGCCTGATTTACCTTGTTCGATTTTTTCAATGCTTCCAATACATTCATTCTGTACTCATTTGTGAAAATGCCCTCATTCCTTTATTTTATTTTATTTTATTTTGTGGGGGGGGGGGTGTTTGCTGGAGCCTGGAGTAAGTGCCATTGATTAAAGTTTCCAGGACTTGAGTGTTTTGTGGGTTGTAGTGAAGAGGGACTTTTTTAACACAAACTGAAATCAGCACCATTGACTAGAATTTGCCGGACTCCATTTTTGTGGTTTTGATAATGGATTTGAACAGTTAGCAATCATCATTTACAATCATTCACTTCTAATAATACTCCAAAACCATGAACATGCTGCTACTTCTGTTTGAGCCGGTTTCTCCCTCGTCTAACATACTAGTTGTAGAAATCTTCAGCTGATGCTAAAGGCAGACAAGGTATTCATGTTACAAGTGCCCTCTGGTTTTTATTGAAATTTTCTATGTCTAGTGTTTTTAACGAGTAACAACGCCTGTTGAAGGAATGCGGCAAAAAAAAAAAAAAAGAGCCTTCTAGTTTGCTTGAAAGACCAGGAAGGATATCTCCATGTTATGTACTATCTGGGAGAATGCCTGAAAGGAATTTGTCTAGATGCATTGCCCTTTGTAAAATATGAATCAATCTGCCTCACTCCGATGCTAGGATTTGGCGGCGGAAGATCAAGTTCCAAGTCTTGTAACTAAAAGCCCACAACTAAAGCGTTCTTTTTGGTGTCAGATATTCATGTTAGTGATTTGCTCTGCATGGAAATATAGAAATGTCAAAGCTAAGAGTTGGTAGTTAGATGATTGTTTTGCCATTGCGTTCGATGTGGTTTATGTGAAATGGCGGTGGAAAGAAAATTAGCACGTTACGCATGCAAGGGTAGGAGGAGTGTTAAACAATAATAATTCCAATCGAATAAAAGGATATCCTTCTACAAAAAGAAAGGCATGATTGGAAGATCAAAAAAGATGATACAGCATATTAACAAATTATTCCTGGGAAAGAGCCTCCTCATCACCACTCATTGTAACCAACTACAACGAGATGAGAGCATATCTCAAGAAAATTGCCAATTATTCAGAGTCTAACAGAAAAATCTCGGGCAGGAATCTGCCTCCTTTGGGGATTGCCCTCTTTGTCGAAGGTAAATTTCAAATGTATCAAATGCCCCTTCCGACCCTTATTCAAAATACAAAATTGCAAATTTCATCTTCTGAGAAAAGACTTAAACTTCGGCCAAAGAAGGTTAAGAGACTTCAATCGAAGATTGGTCAGGAATACAATCCCCCAAACCTAAATGGGTATGTGGATAGAGCCCAGATGAACTACTCTCATTCCCGCCTTAATAATCAGTTGAAAGGATTTGTCAAGGAAGCCTTCAGTTTAATCTTACAGCATCATTGACTCTGGATTTTCAACATAGCCTTTGAATGCTTTTAACCATTCAGCACCAATCGCACCTGAACAAACATCAGATGTACCATTAAAGACCTATCGTCACTAATTCATATAAAACAAGTTTGATGACTGAAGCTCTAATCAAGAAGTATTACCATCTATTACACGATGATCACAGCTGAGCGTTACGGACATGAAAGAAGCAAAATTAAACTCTCCAGGGCCCGAACCCGGTATGACCCGCTTCTCAGCTGTTAAGGTAGATGACAGAGTACCAAGTGTGAAGATAAGAACAATAACTGTTTGAAAAATTAATAGATTGTAAGACCCTATAGGATTCTCACCAGATCCAACAGCAAGAATGCCTGACTGAGGTGGATTGATGATGGCACAGAACTGTTTGATGCCAAATGGCCCTCCCAAGTTAGAAACTGTAAATGTACCTCCCTGCATAGTGAATTGCCAGAAAATCCACAAGTCAAAATGAGATCATCTTTCACAGGCCAATAATTATTCGCACAACTTGTATTACCTCATAGTCTTGGGGTTTCAAGCTGTTTTCTTTGGCTTTTGATGCCAATTGTTTGACCTCTTCTGCTATCTTTGAGAGGCCTTTCTTGTCTGCGTCCTGTGAATATAACCAATAAGAAAGCGAGAGTGATTTAGAGTGTCATTGTTGAGCTGTATTGCTCTGTCGTTTTTTGTAAGCTGATTTTGTCATTTATCTCAAGCGTTATGCTTGCCTCTTGTATTCAAAAAAAAAAAAAAAAAGAAAGAGTGCAGTGAGACGCCATAATTGAAACTAAAGACATCAAGGTCATTCAATTCAGTTAAACAGAGTGCATGACCCACCCTGATGACAGGAACAAAAAGTCCATGATCTGTCTGCACGGCAACATTAACGTTCACATTATGATACCTGCGTAAGACAAATTACACGATACATCGGATGGGATATACAAACTTGATGGCAGCTCTCGCATGCAAAACTTTTGACTTACTGGCGAATATAATCATCTGACCACGAACTGTTACATTGAGGAACTTTACGAAGAGCCAAAGCAGCAGCCTGAAATAAATAAAGATAAACCAAACAAAGATAATATGAACACATCGGCTCAACACCACATATCACGGAAGATGTATGCTGAATCCAAAAGGTTTAGAGGCGTGATCATGTGACTGTTGGGCCAAATTCACTAGCATCTTACACATACTTTGTATTCTATGTTAACACAAGAAAGGTAGTTCATATCAAGTTCACCCGCTGTCTATCCACTCACCAACCCTTTTGTCTGTTTTTCATTGACAGAACCAGCTTATCCTCTACATTGATAGAATATTTACTCCCATATAACTTCCACAACAACAGCTGCTCCTCTTTAGATCGATCGAATAAAAAATCCACAAGTCTTCTTAATTTTTTAAGATGCCACAAACAGAATATAAACAAATCCATAATGAATCCAAAAACAGATAAGTCAGAGGCGCATGGGATACAACCCAAGTATTTATGTCTGACATTAAGCTCAAAACTAATAGGAATCACTCAGAATGATTTTAGAGGTCACAACATTCAACTCGCATTTGCTTGTCAAACACCTAATCTCACATTGTACTCCTAATCGGAACTTAACATCTCAAAAAGACAACCTACATATCTCAAGCACAATTACATGGGTCAGAGACAGATGTATTACCTTGATTACAAGGTCATTAACTGAAATCCGTGCCCCACCTGATGCTTCTTGCAATAAATTGAGTTGGGCACGCAAACTGCAGGCAAACAGAGTACATTAAACAATAATAACAAAAAGCCTTATCCCACTAACTAGGTTGGCTACATGAATTGTACAATGCCATGGTGTTCTATCAACAATCAACTTTTTAGATATATCATCTACCATAGACAGCCCACTCACCTCATGAGTTTGTCAACACAAGAATCTACAGTTAAGTAGTAATGAGGAATAGTTTGTTTCGATAACAGCAGGCGTGAAGCTGTAATCTGTCAAAATATAAAGAGTTAGTTTCAAGTAAACAAACATCACGTGTGCAGTGAAAGATGCAATGATGAAAGAGCATAGCATATAAGTGAATGGATGGCAAACGGAAAGGTGCTGGAATAAAAGGAATAAAATAACCATATAAAAACAAAGACTCGGTGCATACAAATTTAATGATCCAAAAGGACTTATATAATAATTTAAAAAAAAAAAAGAGCAACGACTCTATATGGAGGAAGCACAAAAACTGGACATAACTTTTGTCAGCTGGTTGACAAATAGTTATGTCCCTAATTTAAATATTCAATCTCACCAACTGATTAATACTCAAGGCTCCATTTTTCAGTGAAAGGTAACTTCGTATTCACAACAGAAGGACAGTCTAAACAAAATGGTCTAAAATTAATGCACTCAACTTCTCCAGTGTCAACCAATAAATCTCAGAACACTATTTATAAGAGGAATTCTTTATGCTACCTTCCTTATCTGAGAGACAGGAATGTCAGTGTAATCCAAAGCTGCATCCGCAACCTTGGTCTTTGAGGCTGCTGAAACCTCCTTGACGCCGGAAGCTGCATCAGATGGTAAAGCATATCATCCACATCAAATCAATCGGCTAAGGTCAATAAAATACCCTAGAGCTAGCAAGACACAGGACTCCTCTAGCACAACAAAAAGACCAACTATGATATCTAGGAACACAGAAAAAGAGACAGAAGGATACCCAAGTAATCATCAATATCACCCTTAACAATGAGCCCTTCAGGTCCTGTTCCTTTAATGCTTGAGAGAAGGACCTACATTGTTGACAAAAATTTGTAATATATCTTTAAAACAGGTTATTGCTATTATTTATCAAACAACTTTCAACCCAGCATTTGATTAACATACATTTTTCTCTTCAGCATACTGCCTAGCAAGAGGACTGGCAAATATGCGATCTCCAGATGGAGGAGATGCACTAGGTTTGGAAACCTTTGGCTCAGGTTCTCGGGCAGGCTCTTCCACAACCTCTTTCTTTGGTGGGGGAGGGGCAGATGGTTCTTTAGCAGGGGTAGCACTAGCACCTGATGCAGAAGCTTGATAATCTTTAAACTTTGCAATATCATCCTCGTCTTCAACAGTTATAGCGATGACCTATTAAAAAAAAATGTCTATGTTACCAAAACCATTACCTCAGCATTTAAAGTTTTGGGTGTAAAGCCATAAAATTTGTCTATGTACAGATGCACTTAATGGAACACTAAATAGAAATTCCCTTAAAACTTGTGACCATAGTTCAATACCTCACCAACTTTGATTTCTTTTGATCCATCACCACGTATTATCTTGGCAAGATAACCTTCCTCCATGCATTCCATTTCTACTGTTGCTTTATCCTTCAGCAGTAATATATTGAGACGTCAAGGCCCACATATGGTCATGCTATACAAAATAAGCCTACAATGTCAACAGTACAAGAATCATACAGTTTCAACTTCACACAGAACTTCACCAGGAGAAACTTTTTCCCCTTCTTTCTTCAACCATCTTGCAATGTTTCCCTACATTTAATTGTGAATCACTAGGCGGTAGGCAGAAACAATAAGCCACTGTATAACAATCTCATGAACTTCAGAAAGATACATACCTCAGTCATTGTAGGCGAGAGCGAAGGCATTCCAATCTCTTGGTGTGGAGGAAGGTCTGAAAGATATACGCCAGTATTGGTAACGAGAGAAGTACACTACTATTATACAAGTTATACAAGCATCCTTAAAAATACTTACAAATTAAAAATGAGGTGGAAAAACTGTAAAAACAGCAAACTCTTGTAAAATACATCATTGATGAAAGAATGAAATAAATCCAATTATAACATCTAACAAGTTCTTATATGGTTTCTAGTTCACTCGAAAACATTAAGCTCAAACAATATATCAGGAGACATCCACGGATGTATTAAGGGAATGCACGTAAAACAATAAAAAGAAGGCTGATTAAATTCTTTCACCAGGGGCTACTGAAAAGAAAGAACTTTCTTTATTTGTTGTTTTTTCTGTTTAATCATTCAACTTATCCTTTCAGGTAGGAATCAATCAATACATAGAAGCCCATATAAGAGTAGATACAACAAAGTTACATGCAACATGAATGGTAAGCAGCAGAAGCCACAGCATGCTCTGTTACAAATTGATTGGTAAGAGCAAGACATATATATCCTAAATTCAAGCTACGCCAAATGACAGCTTCTTCTTAAACTATGAACGCTATGGTAAAATATTCAGTAAAAACTCGAGTGAAAAGTACGACTTGGATCACAAAGAAAGAGACCCAAATAGCCATGGAAAGTACCTGAAGCCGATGCATAAGATCTCCTTGATTGTACCTGTGAGCTTTTTCAGGGTGAGGGAGAGAACAGAAAATAAAATAAGTATGCATTACCCTGCTGAAGCAAGAAAAGTACTCAATAAACATTTTAAAAGATACCGTGAATTCTCATTGTTCAAGGAACCCTGGGTGAAACAAGTTGAGATGTTTCTCGCCTGTGCACCAAATGATTTCTACAAAATACAGAATTCGGCAATTGCCTCCAGGTCAGCTAGAAAAATCAGCTCATTATAATAAAGCACGGGCAAGGAGAGGGATGGGCGGCAGCGCAGACAGCAAAACTTCTTTTTAACATATTGCTTAATTGGCATAAACTGGGTTTGACTTACAGCATGGAAGGAGGCAAGCTCAGAAGCACTCTTTCTTGTTGGGGACTGATAACCATAAAATTGGGTTTTGCAAATATCTGAAAAATAGTTCACTCCTCCATTCATAATTCATAAATATAATATATGAAAATTTAGGAACATCAAGAAAGTACAGATGAATCATAACTTCCTACACTGCATGATCATAAATTCATAAAGGTGATTCCCTCCCATATCATCATGAAAATAAAAACTAGACTTCCAAACACATTCATCCAGAATGTCTAGAATTCCACCCTAAAGGTAAAGGGAACGCCTTGAATGGGTAACCTACAAAAGCCTGTATGTCTATAGCAAATTACATATTGGAAATTCATCCCTGTTACCAGTTGCTCAAGAGAGATTCAACTTGGCTCTCTACCAAGAGGGATAAATATCACTTGACTCGACTACTGTACTAAGACTGCACCATCATAGAACTATATTTTTTTTGGAATAGAACCAACATCTAACTATGATAGTACTGTCACCAAAATTGGAAGTTCGATTATAAAGACAGGCAGTAAATATAAAAATTAAAACAGAAACCCCATATACCATGCAGCAGCTATATAAAACTTGACACGGCCCAAACAGTTTATGCTGATCATGCCCCAGCCTATGGTCAACTAAACATATTGCAGAAACCAAACCCGTTGTATGCATTTGTAGTACATAAGGCATCATTTGCTTATGTCAAACAATCAATGAATCAATAGGGGGAAACAACAGCCAGGTACCTTGATTTCTGTTCATAGAAGGATGAGCCTCACTAGAGAAACATCTAGCCAAAAGAGCTCGTTCATGGTGTAACAAGTCGGGAGCATTCCTCAACTGCAGGAACACATATATGTCTCACTTTAATATTTCATAAGCAACATGGAGTAGAGAGACACCCAAGCAGAAAACCCATGCACAACGGTACCATATCAGACACAGCATTTAACTAAAACTAAATATGACATGACAGATTTTTTTTTTTTTTAAATAAATGAAAAGCTATTCAGATACACATAGTATATTGGTTTAACATAATAATTATGTGCGTGACAAGTTCTTAAAACAGCACACATAAAATATGCCAGATGACTGATGAGGTCAAAATTCACACAACCCTTTCAAAACTTCCCCAACCAAAAAGAACCACAGAAGCGCAGACAGCCAAAGTTATAAAGAAAAACCCATACACACATATAGCATCTGGTTAACAACTAGTTTAATGGACATCGGGAAGGGAAAAAAAAAGTCAGAAGATGTCGCTGAATATATAAAGAAAATTAAGAAATGGGGGAAGCTTTAAAGTTGTTTATAAGGAAAAATTAATAACAAAAGTATGTACAACAGTAACAGTAGATAAATGCAACCAATAGAATTCTGAAATTACAGCGTACAAAATCATCCTTGCGTTGCGCCCAAGCGTGTTGAACGAAGAAGTGAAGCGTAACGTAATACTTTTCAGTATAACAACTGCAAAGATTTCTCTTATAGATTGCAATCTTAGGTAATAAGCTAACCTGTAGTGCTAATGTAAATAGAACTCGTCGGAGAGATCCATGGTGACAAACACAGGGCTTTGGTTCAATAAGATGGGGCAAAACTTTGTTCCAAGGACCCCTTTGAGAATATCAAAATGCTTAATTTCCCCAAAAAAAACGAATAATCAATGCTTGATGGAAAATTTTCATCATCTATAAAAAGTCTCAAGATGAAGCAGTATAAAGAAATACCGCCCAGATACAAGAAACGCACATAGTCTACTTGTACAAGCTGCGAAACTAAGTGGGATTGATGCGTCATCAAAGATAAAACAAAATGAAAAAGAAAAGAAACGACAAATCAGAAGTATGACATGGTTACCTTTCTGGAGTGATTGATTATACGAGATGCGCAAGCCATTTTGCCTTCGACCCAAAAGAAATGAAACTAGCGAGATCGAACGCGAGCAGGGAGGCAATGAATGCCCAAAAGGGGTTGAAGGATCGGTGTGAATTGGTTAGGTGTGCTAAGTCCGTAGGGTTTGGTCACAGATCGGCGGTTGATGGAGGCAACAATGCGTCGCAGACAGTCTAATGGGTATTTTACCATTTTCTCTGTCTGTGCTTTTACTTTTATTTCTTTAATTCTTAATACTTTATAGTATAAATAGAATAAATATATTTTGACGTGTATTTATAATTTTGAGATACTAAATGTAATATAAATTATGGGCAAAATAGTGATGTAAGTATAAATTAATATCTTTTTTTCCTGAAAAGCAAACATAACACAATCATTATAGTATACTTTTTTATAGAAAGTCAATAGCTTATAAATGACTATATAATCTAGTCAGCATGGTTTATTGGTCTTGTGCAGCGCAGTTTGTTTATTTATATTAGTTTTGAAATACTTTTTTTATTAATAATTATAAGATTAAAATATATTTTTAATTTTTTAATTTTATATAAGATTTTAATTTAGATAATTTTTTAACTCTAACATTGTTAGTTTTAAATGTTAATCATTATTTTTTAAAGAAAATTAAATTTAATATGTCAACATTTTAAAATATTTTATTAATATTTAAAAGTTTAATATAGATTTTTTAAAAAATAAAATTAATAGTACTCAGGTTAAAGAACTAAAAAAATATTTTATAAAATTAAAATATTAAAATAAAATATTGTGTAAAATTAAAAAATTAATATATATTTTAACCTAATTATAATATAATTATTCAATGTAATATGTATGAAAAGTCTTGAAAAGTGTTAGGTATAATTATAGAATTGAAAATATGAACCGGCCAAAATTATATAGATTGTCCTATATGAGTTAGAAAAAATATCAGTTGAATGGAGATGGATTCAATTTATATTTATATAAGTTAAAAAAACTTAATTTAACTCAATTCTTAAGAGTTAATGAATTAAATAGATTAACCTGCTATCCTATTTTATTTTATTTTCAATTTATATTTTATAATTTTTTTAAAATATACCTAAATGAAAATAATGATAAGTTTTAATATTATGTTATGATTCATTTTAGATATATCAAAATTTTAACTCATAATATTTATATAAGATATTTAAATTGAGCCAATCAACTCATGTCCATTTATTTATTAAAAGTCATGAATCACCAATGTTCCTCCCTTTTTTCGTTATTATATATATATATATTTAAAAAAATACATGAATTAAATGAGTTAATCTTAACTAATTCATATAGTTTACTAATTATATGGTTGAGGGCAAAAAGAAAAACTCATTTTTATTTAGACTAATTTTTTTCAATTCAACTCGACCTATATTTAGGACTAATGTGTACAATTCCACGCATATTTCTGGCTCTAGGTATAGAAGTACCAAAATGCTTTAAATTATAATAGTCCGTAAAACCCCATTGCCTAGAATCAGCGGGCTGTGAAGTTTTCGTGCTTTCATTTAATAAAGAAATAACAGAAAGAGTTTCACGGGGAGACAGATCAACGTCGACCTCGGTGGGGGCCACTAGTCTTTGCTTTCAGGAGAATGTGTACGTTTTTTTTTTTTTTTGGGCCAAGAATATGCGCATATATAATGATGGGTGCTAGATGCCTTATTAAAAATATATTAATTGATAATGCTTGTCGCCTAGTTTTTTATCACATATTATTTAAGTATTTAATTTAATTTAACATGTACGTCATATATCATCATGCACTGTCTTAAAAATGGCAACATCACTGCTGTTTGGCGTTCTATTTTACTTACATAACTTTCGCATCACTGCTGTCATATTCGTAATTTGTATTATTATAGCTATTACTGTTAATTGTTGATTATTAACCTTAATTGTGGTTTTATATTATTGTGTAATGTGTAACATGAAATATCTTTGAGAAAGGTACATGGCCGGCTGACATGGAAGAATGAAAAAGAAGAAGCTGTAGACTTTAGAGAGTGGGGCATTTGCAAATGATAATTATGCACTGTGCCTCTCTCCATTCCCATTTCGCCCTTGACAATTAAGGCAAAGGCCACTGCCTTTGTATAAGTTGATTAAAAAATTAAAAATTATTATCTTCATTTAAAAATATAAAATATTTTTAATTAAATTTTATTTTTAAATTAATTTTATTTTTTATATTTATTTTTATTTAATAAAATATTTCACCTAAAAAAATAAAGTTATATATTCAATAGGGATATTTAAAAAAATAATAATAATTATATTTTAAAAAATTAAAAATATCTTACATTTTATAATAATTAATTCATTAAAAAATCTCTTACATTTTCAAACGGAGGAATTACGTATTATGCCTGACTCTTTCAATTTTGATTTGAAGTTAGTGATGGAGTGAATTATATTTTGATTTGATATTGTATTTTGTAATCAATAATTTCTATCTGATTTTGTCTGTTCCATCGCCCAATATTTTTAAAAATCTCAATGAATCATCACCATTTACCTAAAATAATTTGTATCTTGTTACCGTTGAAGACAATTTTTATAGTATTTCGAGAATGTACTTAACATTTTAATTTAATATGATTGTATATCTCAGAACTTAAATCAGAGATTTCAAGTTAATTCAACTCCTCAATCAATCAAACCAAGTGTTGCCCTGTAGTTTCTATTTGTTCTTAAATGTGCATCCATGTTAAATTAATTATGATTACAATGATTTTGATTTGAAAAGCTGATCATTTGGTTTGAGACCAATAGTTTTGTCATTCAGGTGATGGAAATGAAATTGGAAAATATTAAGAAAAAGATCCTTATTGATTAAGAGAGATAAATTTTCTATAAATGCAGTTTGGAGATATCTTGGGCAGGTTCAATCCAAAGTAGCATTGATTGAGAAACGAGGCAAAAATTATGCATATATCTTTTGAACTAAACTTGAAATGTTGTTTTGCCTCCCATATCATCAACCTATTCGAATGGAGTGAAACACCAGGAAAGGGTTTTATTGTGATTGTTGGGCCATCCTATAGTTTGGGCTTTCTTTTAATAGTGCTGGGCTTTAGATGACACTTAAGATTGGGCCTGAGCCCTATTGGGGCTCTCATTTTGCGATTCAGCTATTCCGAAGGGACCATTCTGATATCCATCTTTATCATCCTCTGTTGGGCCAATATATCCATCTTAATAGATGACTGATGAGGTGTCAATTTTAACTAATTTTCTTTTCAATTTCTTTTAGATCCACTTTGTTGCGTCTTCCAATAATCTTCTCAATCTCAAGTCATATTACTTGCTTGCTTTGAGTTTTTTTTATCAATTTTCTATAAATAATATTTTAGGACTTGTTTGGTTTAGTTTTTAAATTTCCTTTTCAAACGAAAATAAAATAAAAATTTGTTTAATTATGTTAATTCAAAAATATTTTTAAAATTAAAAAATAGGTTAATAGTGATGGTTGCAGCTGGTTAATAGAATAAAAATTAGTTAAGCTAATTATGCTTTTCAATAAAGTAGTATGTTAAAGTTGCGTGTTTCGAGAACAAGAAAACTGAAATGAAAACAGCTTAAAATGTTTCTATCTTTTGTTCAAAAATAAGAAAATTAAAACAGTTTTAAAAATAATTAAATTTAAAACAGTCATCCAAACAACTTTTTTATTTTTAAAAAAACAAAAGCCAAAGAGGTCTTTAGGAAAGGGATTTTTCAATTTCAAATATATCTCGTAAAAATAAATAATAAAATATTTTTTCCTTTTCTTTCTCTACCTTTGCTTTTCAGCCTGGAGAATTTCATATGGTATTATCATATTCACCCCACTCCGTTATATATATATATATATATATATATATATAATCAAAAGGAAAACCACTGCTAGCTACTTGTGGTAGCGACAGGCCGAGGCACGACCATCAGCAACATCATTACAAATTTTAATGAATGTTTTGATGAATTTCAAGTGCCCCTCATAATTATTTGCTCAATCGCCCCCCTTTTTTTCATGAATGAGTTGGATTCCAAAAACCCTTCAAGGTCTCCATGCTTAAAAAGCAGTGATACATAGAGCTAATCTACCAACAAGTTCTTCAAATCTGCAGTGGAATATTCAATCCTGCCCTGTATTTATTGCCCGACTACTCTATACTACACCTACATATTTTAAATATAAAATATATTTTTCAAACAGGAAAAATATTTTTCTCAAATACAAAACCTTTTCTCAATATTTCTTAAAGTGTAGCCAACCTATTATTTCTGTTAGACGAGGAGAGGAAGTATAACATTACAGATAAATTCTGAAATTGATCTAGTACATTATTTGTAGTTTCAAGCTACCAAAATAAAATATTATGTAATATTATTTTAATTAATTTTATTTATTATAGAATGTATAATCTCTTTATTTTGATCTAAATGTCATGTTTTCATTTGATAGACTATAAATGATATAACAGTCTACCTAATAATTTCTCTAACATTAGATGATACAAGAGACACACGTAGTTATAACGCCGTAACAATCACACACAAAAGAAGCAACTTTATTATTATGCAACAATCATGGTACTTAACGTGAATTAGGTTCCATGAAATTCTTAAATTTACTTCATTACGTGACAAAACTCGCTGAGTCAAACACACATAACCTTCACCAGAAGGAGGTGGCCTTGGTCAAGGAGGTGATGGTTACTGTGGGACCAAGCAAAGGCTTCCCCAGCTTAGCCGTAAACGTGTCGTAACGCAGGAAGAGCTCCACCAAAGTTACCCTAAGCATCAGCACCACCAGATCCCTCCCCGCGCACTGCTTGTTGTCCTCCGTCGGCTCCTCCGTCTCCCTCCCATTCGACCAATACACGTACTTCAACAACTTCTCTCCTTCCCCAACAAACCTATGGCCCAAAAACTCCTCCGGGTTCTTGAACACCCTCGGATCCTTCGTAACCAACGGCTGATATCCAAACACCATCTCGCCTTTCTTTATCTGAAACGCGGCGTCGTGGCTCCGGACCACCACATCCTCCTTCGCCTTCCCGTACTGGAACTGAACCGGCGGGTCTATCCTCAGCACTTCCCACACCACTGACTTCATCAGAGCCATCTTATCCAACGCTGCTAATGTCATCCCGCCTTCCTCCTTTACCACGCTCCTTATCTCGTCCGCGAGCTCTCTGTGTAAACCCTCCCCAGCTAATCCCACCCACTTCATCAGACTTGGAATTACGATTTTAACCCCGCCGTAAGTGTTAAATCCAAGAACGAAGAGCAAGTTATTGCATGCTTCGTCTTTACTTAGCCCCATACGCTCCGCTTCGTCTAGCGCCTCTCCGGCGGACGTGTAAATGGCGTCGTACAGCTTCCGGTGAAGCCATCTGAGCAAGAACGCCGGAAACGGCACCGTATGGAGGAAGAAATCTTCGATCACGTTAATGGGGAAGAAGTACCAGGGTAGTCCGAGGGATCCGAGCGGTGCAACCTGAGGATATACCCAGAACTCGAAGTATTTAGGGGCCCAGGATCCGAGTTTGGTTTGGTTCGGATCCTTTCCACAGTAGAATCGGAACACGAAGTTGAAGAGCTCGTTGTCGCTTATGGAGTTGAAATAGGCTTGGCTCTTGCCGTGGACCTGGTCTTCGAGCTTCTGAAACATCTCGGACAGGTGGCTTCGGAGAAGCGGGATGGCCTGGTCTTTCTTAGATGAGAGGAGGTAGAAGAAGAAGCGCTTGATGAGGGCGTGTTTGGGCTCGGAGGGGTCGAGGTAGGAGCAGATGCGGTGGCCACCGGTAAAGGTGGTAGAGGGCATGTAGGTGCCGGTGAAGACGTCGCGCTTTTCGACCTTGGAGACGTCAAAGAGGATGGGGAAGCTGAGGGCGTCGAGGACGGCAACGACCCTAGGGTTGGAGGCGACGAAGGGACCAGGAGGCATGTTGGTGCGGAAGACGGTGGAGTTGTGCTTGCGGATTCTGGAAATGAAGAACTTTTCGCGGCCTTGGTTGTAGTAATAGTCGTAACGGTCAAAAAGGGGGCCGATGAAAGGGAGGCCATAGCCGCCGGGGATTGGTCTGAGGGGGAGTCCGTCAGATTTGGAAGCACCGTCGTCGACGACTGAGGGAGGAGACGACATTGTTATCGGTTCTTCTTCTCGTTATCTTTTTGTAATGATTAATCAGTGCGTAGTCCGAGATCCTGATTAAGTGGTGAGTTATATATACAGTGAGACGTTGCAGAGCTGAAATGGATAGATTCTGGGTTTTCTGTATCTAAGAGATGACGTGTGTGTAGTGTTGAAATTATAAGTGTTGTGGGCGTAAGTCTCGAGGTTTTGGACGTGTCGTTAGGAAGAAGATGCTGCATGTCTAGCAAGTGACGTGGCTTTTTTGCACATATATATATATATATATATATATGAGTTCTGATATAAACATCTAAATGACATGCTCTTGAAAATAAACACGCCAGCTGGGAATTGCAAATATTAAAATGTGGGGAATGGATCATGTCAAGTTGAGAAACCATGAATTTCATGAAATTGTCCTTTCTAGAGAATATAGAGAATATTTTATACTTTATTATAAATGAGGAAAAATTTATTCAAAGATAAAACTTCATATAAATTCATCAATCTCACCTTCATAGAATTTGAATCCCAAAACTTGAGACAACTGAAATATAATACAGATGAGGATCGACGATCATCGGAAGTTGGAATGTTTGAAGTTCATGAGTTGATCAAAATTCTTTGAAAACAAAAAAAAAAAAGGTTCATGAAAGTATACCTATTCTATAGCTATGTATTCTATATGATATTGCGTACAACCAAATTTATAAATAACCTAAACTAGGTCTACTCTACATCAAATTTTGTGGAACTTACATTTTGAATTTTAAGGGATCGTCGAAGTACTTTCTTGAAACACAACATATAGAGACAGTTTGATAGACCCTGTAACGATGACATAGTGTTAATGACAACGAAACTTGAGAATGGTAATTATGAGCATGGTGGCATGAAAGGAGTCTAAGGCAAGGAGTAAGGAGTCTAATACTTTCAATCCAACGTGCCTAATAACATATTGGAGGTCCAATAATGTAACATCTCAATTTAAATTTTAATAGTTAATTTGGGTTAATAGAAATTTTGAAAAAAAAAATTAGAGATAAGCAAATTAGTAGGAGATAATTATTAAATCTAACTTAGGATATAATTCTAAATTAAAAATAATAATAATAAATAATATATTAAATTATTGTTATTATAAAAAAAGAAAAGGTATTAAAAAAAAGAAAGAAGAAGAAGAAGAACGAGATTGCTTTCGGCGGCCGCGTAATGATTACATGTAAAATAATAAAAAAAAAGAAAAGGAAAGAAGAGAGAGGAAAGAAGAAATAATTAAAAAAATGTGAAACCCACTGAATTTTTATAAAAACTCTATTTCCTTCACTTCTTCATTTTTTCCTTTGTGCGCAAGCTGAGGCAGAGTTAGCGTGAGTCGTCGGTGCGGGAGATCTAAGTTTTTAAGGTAAGAGTTTTTCATAGGATATTTAGGGTGTGATTTCAAGTTTTTTAAGACTAAATAAATGTTCTAAAAATTTTTCTTAATCATCCTTCCTCTTTAATTTTTGATTTTGTGGTGGTAGAAAATTTAAGATATAGAAGAGGGATAAATTTATGTTAAATAAATATGGTTTTTGAGGTTGTTAGTAGTATAATAAATGTTCTAAAGTATATTTGTTGATGATCTTTGAATTTGTGGCTTATGGATCAAATTCTAAACTAGATCTGAAAATATATGTTGATTTATTGAGGTTTAGATAATTATTTAGGATGGAAAATGAATTTTTATGGCTATAGGATTATGATTCAAAGCTAGAGACTCAATTTTTAATTTTTGGGCATTTTAGGTGCGAATTTATAAAATAAAAAGAAAATTTTGATAATAAAAATTAGTTTAGAAGTTGATTTTTAGATTATTATGTTTATTGATAATTAAAAGAGGAGTTAAAAATTTTACTTAATAGTATTAGCTCTAGATTTGTATTAAGATTGAGATCAGAAATTATGTTACATTTTTAATTCTATTATTAGAATTATTTTATTAGTTTTAAAAATTGAAACTAATATTTATAATAATATGTTATTTGTAGATTGCATTATTGGTGAAAATTGTGGTGGGAGAGAATTTTAAGGAATAATTTATTGAAAAAGCCATAAGGTAACGATGCTTTTAATTTGTGATTAGTGTTACTTCATGTTAATTGAATGATTATTGAGAAAATTATGAACTTTGTAATATTATAATTGTGCAATATTGTTATGAATTTTGTTTGATTATTGTGAAAGGTGTTGGGAGATTTGCTATTGTTGTATTTATGCACCACGTGGTACGCCCCTATTGGAGCTCAATAAGTGGCTTGTAAGGGCTCGAGCTAATCTACCTTTGGCCGGGTAATTTAGCACCCAGTGAGGGCTACGGCTCGAGGTTAATGGAGGGATATAAGGATGGTTATTTGTGTGTATTGTAATATTTCTTATATTTGTTAGAATTATATATTTTTAATTCTCACTCAATAAGCACACACTTAACTGTTTGTATATACTATCATAAATTGGCTATGGTTACTGGGACTTTTAAGTTTCATTATGTGGTTAATAATTTTCAGGAGAAGAGCCACGAGTGACACATAGAGGAGTCCCAGAGGCTTAGTGGCATAGATCCACTATCTCTTTTGGGTATTTAATTTATGATTTATAATATTTTATATTGTCAATATTAGAGCTTTTTGTTTATTGACAATTATTTGAATATATAAATGTAATTATACCTTTCAAACTATTTATAGTTTTGGTACACTTTGGATGACTGTAATTTTAATATTTAGTTTACTTTGAATTTGTTAAACTGGTATGATTATGAGGTCAAATAACTGGCTTGTTTTGAAAATTGACTAAATTATTTATTTTACTTGTTGGGAGTATAAGGATGGACAAATGTGATTTAGTTTACTTGTTAGGAGTATAAGGATGTATAAATGTGATTTAGCCTAATGGCATGTGGGAGGTAAAAATTTATCTGAAATGTTGTATTATGCAAGTTTAAGCCAATTATAAAATATTTTTATATTGAATTTATTGATATAAAATGTGTTGGGTGGCTGTAACCCAACTATGGTTGAATTAAATTATAAAAAAAAAATTGGTGTGTTACAAATAATAAGAGCTCGAATTAAAGCTATGAAGTAAGCCTTGCCTAGTCTTGTATAAGAAGTCTAAGAGCTTGGAGAGTATTAGGGCACTCCTCTTAAATCTAAAGGAGAGCATCTATATGTGTATAATGTGGTTAAGATTTAAATCCATGAGGAGTCAAGCCCAAGAGATGTAAACCTTAGCTCAATGTAAGGAAGACTACAAGTGGAGCCTCTTGCAAGCAAGAAAGCATGAAACCCTAGTGAAGAAATCAATGGTGGCGTGATTTTAAATCTTTTATTATCCTTCAATTGTATTCTTAATTATTTCCTATTTTAGTGGCCCGTTGACTTGACTCATTTTCTTAAGTACAACTCTTGTGATGTCTTCAAAGATTGAAGTTCCTAGAGGCAGGGGCTCTAGAGAATTTTATTCTTGATCATTATCCCGTTGTTTATTTTTCTTTCTTTCTTTATTTTCGTCACAAATTTTATCTTTTTTTTGTTCTTGTGTTTTGTTGTGTTTCAGAATTCTGTTTCTAAACTAGTACGATTCTATTTCCGCATCCCATATCACAGTTCTTTTTTATGTTGTATGCAAGTGCAAATTAATTTAATATATAAAATATTTTAATAACTTCGCATGTATATTTAGTTAAATATAAATAAATTAGTCATCAAATCAATTTACTTTTAATTAATCTAGTTTCTTATATCGTATTTTGTTCTTTCATTTTTTAAAATTTAAGTATGTTTTTTCTCTACTTAAATAATTTCACTTTTTCCATTAATCCACATAGTTGCTACTGATATTCTATTATCTATGTCAATCAATTTTAACAATGTCACCCTCCAATTCAAACAATTAGGCCCAGATTGATAAATGATAATTGGGGTAAGTTTAAGGAATTAAATTAATAAAAATAAAACTTAAAAAACTAAATTAATAATTGAGATAAATTTAAGGGACTGAAATTTTTATGATCTCAATTTTTTTTATCTTGAAAGTGACCTAACTATAACAATTTTCAGACCCACAAGGATCTTGGTTCTTAATGGATAATGGATATTTTAAATAAATAAAGTAGTAAATTACAATGACAGTGGCTTTCAAAAGTGGTCCTTAGAGCGACTCTCAATTAAATCCACCAAACTTTAAATATAACCCAATTAGATAGTTATATGAAAAAAAAAAATTACACAATTCTTTTTAATTCTTATGTGATTTTAAAAAAATTTAATAAGTATTTGTGAAATTTATTTTTATTTTGAACATGAACTTTATAAATCAAATAATTATCAATTTTTATGTCAATTTTGAGCCTTGCATTTCCTTTTTCCTTATTCTTTTTTCACCTGTAAATATTCTGGCTTCCATTAGATCCATCGATTGACCATGCTTAATTGGGGTAAGTTTAAGGAATTAAATTAATAAAAATAAAACTTAAAAGACTAAATTAATAATTGAGATAAATTTAAGGGACTGAAATTTTTATGATCTCAATTTTTTTTATCTTGAAAGTGACCTAACTATAACAATTTTCAGACCCACAAGGATCTTGGTTCTTAATGGATAATGGATATTTTAAATAAATAAAGTAGTAAATTACAATGACAGTGGCTTTCAAAAAGTGGTCCTTAGAGCGACTCTCAATTAAATCCACCAAACTTTAAATATAACCCAATTAGATAGTTATATGAAAAAAAAATTACACAATTCTTTTTAATTCTTATGTGATTTTAAAAAATTTAATAAGTATTTGTGAAATTTATTTTTATTTTGACCATGAACTTTATAAATCAAATAATTATCAATTTTTATGTCAATTTTGAGCCTTGCATTTCCTTTTCCTTATTCTTTTTTTCACCTGTAAATATTCTGGCTTCCATTAGATCCATCGATTGACCATGCTTAATTGGGGTAAGTTTAAGGAATTAAAT